TCAGTTCCGATTATTAACCGGTAACCGAACAAACCCACACGTAAGTATATAGACTATTGCTGGTAGAGTTCTGTTTGGTATACAACGTCTTGTACCTACTTAGATACCGTACGTAGTAATTGATTTAGACTCCTAGCGAGTCCTAAAGGGCCTACTCGTAGCATCTTCGTGACACATAGTCCTGTTTGTTCAGTGTTGTTTTGCGAGTTGTTCATGGATCGTAACACTCTGATCCTTTTTTTTTCTTAACATCTAACACGGTCTTTTACTATAATACTTATTTTCTCCTATGTACTATGCTACACTACTTGTAATGCATGAGTGCCCAGTCCTCAATATCAATACTATGTGACATCTCCTAGTCATACCAAAAGGTAAGTACAAGAATACTTGAGCAAGTATTCTTTGTGTAGTATAATATATATAGTGCCAGCCAGCCAGCTTTGCCTCTAGCTGCTGTAAGCATGTCTACCCCACAGCCTTCCTGTGTGCAGAGTTGTTACAGTTTTAACCCTAACCTCAATCACAACATTATCCACTTTTTGTAAGGGGCGAGCCGCTGAGGGCAATATGCGATGTAGAACTTGATGGATTTGATAAGGGGCAAGTCCCAGAGCGGGACTTGCAGAATTCTAATACTCCCACTTCGGGGGTTGCAGGCCCGCTCCGGAGGTAACCGGAGGTTGTACGTCCGCTTTGGAGGTACCGAGGCCTGTGCTGTTGCTGAGGCGCTAACAATGGGCCTAGCCCATTACACTTTTTATGCATACAATCATTATGCAGTAATTCTGAAGATAATAAAATGTGCACAGAGTTGTATTCCATTTTCTTATGCAATTGCATTGTAATTCAGCACTGTTCAAGGTCTTTAGGGTTTATTCCTACATATTGTAACGCCTTCGACCAAAAGCGCTCCGATAACGTCTGGTTCCTGTGGGTCTCAGCACACCGCTCTCCTTCCTGTCGCTAACTACCTCCTTGTCAACTGGACAAGGGTAGTTCCAATTCCCCTCCGAACTGTGTACTTAATCAGTTTGGCACAGTCTGTAACGACGCAGGCCAGTAGGGAAGATGTCCGAAGTAAGTGTGAGTCCACTGCAAGGCATATGGGAGTGCTGGGATGTTGAGAACACTAGGATTGAATTCCCTACACCTATAGGTCTTGTACAAAAGGATACAGAAAAACTACTCTATCTAACGACTGTGTCAGACTGATTAAATATACAGTTCGGAGGGGAATCGGAACTACCCATGTCTAGGTGACATGGAAGTAGTTAGCGACAGGAAGGAGAGCGGTGTGCTGAGTCCCTGCGGGACTACACGTTATTGGAGCGCTTTTGGTCCAAGGCGTTACACAGTCATTAGATAGAGTAGTTTTTCTGTATCCTTTTGTACAAGACCTATAGGTGTAGGGAATTCAATCCTAGTGTTCTCAACATCCCAGCACTCCCATATGCCTCGCAGTGGACTCACACTTACTCCGGACATCTTCCCTACTGGCCTGCATTGTTACACATATTCAATGGTACAGGGTGATAACAGGGGTTGTACAGAGGCCACAATTAAATTGAATAGGGTCTATACAAAAAAGCACTAGAAGTTAGGCAATTACAACCTGACCAATAGTCAAACATCTATTACTCCAAGCTTTGTTTAAGTGATAACCAACCCTAACAATTTTCTGTACTTTTGCTCATCCCCAAGAACCAATCAAATAGTGGCTACAAGCTTTGCTTAAGACACAACTTTAACAACTCTTTACTTACTACTTTTTACTTTATTACTACTTAAACTTATTTGTAAACTGTTTGTTACTATAATCTTGTTCTTCTATATAATTTAACTCTACTCTATATCCATACTTTTCTACTTTCTATACTCTACTAACCTTGCACCATTCATCTTGTCCTGTCCATTGACCGTGAGGAGAGAGCCATTGAACTGTCAATTGAGCATGTGAGAGAGCTTTTGTCCTGTCCATTGACTTTGTGGAGAGAGCTGCCAATGGACCGTGAAGAGAGAGCTGTTGTCTTGTTGATTGACCATGAGGAGAGAGCCGTTGCACTGTCGATTGAGCGTGTGAGAGAGCGTTGTCCGGCCAATTGAGCGTGTGACAGAGCTGTTCTCCTGTCAATTGACCGTGTGGAGAGTGATGCTGATTGACCGTGAGGAGAGAGCTGTTGCACTGTCAATTGAGCGTGTGAGAACTGGTTGGGAGTGCAAAATTGCTGCTTGTGTATCATATTGGGTAGCTGACGTTATCACAGCTCTTTATCACAGCTCCATGCTGACAACGTCGGTAGGGTGGGGCTAGTAGAGCCAGGGTGTGGCTAGTGAGTTAGGTTTAGCCTCATGTATTCAAACGCGTGCATCACAACATCCAGACTAGCTACACAAAATCCAAGGTCAGATTCGGAATCAGCGTACGATTCTGCACAGGATGGCCTGTAAGGATAAATTTATCAAGCTCTCTAATCACCGCAAATCGGCCAAACGAATCGGGGGTCAAACCCTTCTGTTTCGGGCAGAGAAACTGTAACGCTAAGCCTACTCTGGCACAAATCGGGGTGCGATTCGTGCATGCTCTTGGGTAGGGGTCTATATGGATTGTTGTAGTTGTAAATCGTAAAGGGTAAGGCGCAGGGGTCCTGCTAGCGCCGGGTAAAATCGTATAGGGTCTATACGGATATTGACTAGTAGTTAGTTCGGCATAGCATATCAGCGTGGGGCATGTGCTGCCTACAAGACATCCCATTCGTCCATTCCATTTCGTGAGTCCCTCACGCGGGCCCTGCTTATCTGGGAAAGTGTCCAATAGTGTGCGGTGCACACTTGACACACATTTCATACCAAAGGAATCATAAAGACAAAGTGTGTACGAAATGTGTCTGTGCGCGGAGTCTCACTCACGTGAACCGACAACTCCCGTGACAGCCCAACACGCTGACTAACACCACGCCCACGTGAAAGAGTCTCCCCACCGAACGCTAAGACAATTAATCGAACTAAGAACATTTCCCAACGGAAAAAAGGCAAATATTCCAAAAAACAGAACACAACCTACGGGGAACAAAACAAACAAAACGCTCTACATCCACAAAGACAAAAAAAAATACTATTCGAAGTAACCCTATAACTTTAAAAAAGCAATCTCTGCTAGCAACACGGTCACCCTGCAACACGGTCCCCTAGGAACACGCAACTTGCTCAACAAGAGCGACAACCTCCGCGTCCGCTCTACGCGATCAACCTGCACCGCAGCCACGGCTCTTTTGCGGGACAGACATCGCCCACAGCCAGAGTAACACCTCCAAACCAGTGCTTCTCTCCCCAGGGCCGCACTCCAATAAACCTCACCAACCATATAAACTGGCGCCGTTTGCGAGGAACTTCGGAACATGGCTTGCAGAGGAAGTCCAATCTACAGCTGTATCCGCCGCCCGACGAGAACGCCCCATCGTCCAGCGCCCTGAACGCTCCACTCATCGCAGACGCTAGCTGTGCGGCGTCTCCACCACCACCAACGATCTGGCAACAGCTCCGCGCTACCGCCTCCGCTACACAAACCGCTTCCTCCGACAGAAGCGCAACCGCAACATGGTCACGCCACTCCCTGCCCTGAAGAACCCCCACCTTCAACACCAAGTAGCTCCGCCTCAACTGATTGGACGTGTACCGCCTCTGGTCGCACCCGCATCCCTTTGCATCGTAGCACACCGGTAGCTCCCCGCTCTCCCGAGTGAGAAACCAACCTGCCTGACTGCCTCTCGCTACCACGCACGTCAACGACGCACCCTCGTCCCGCAAACCTGTAGCTAGTGTAAGTCATCCAAAACCCGCTCATCCTTCGCGCACACTTACACGAAAGATTCTCCTTCACGACCCGTAGGTTATCCAGCCCCAAAGGTCCAATCACACTCCCTAGTGACTGCGTACGTAGCTGACCAATCAACGCCTGCCGGTCCACCTCTCTCTGCGTCCAGGTCCACTCCATCACCGACATCCACTGTCGTCTCTACTACCAAAACGTAACACGCGCCCACACGTTTCTACACCAACTCAATCCGGCATCCGCTGCGTACAATCCAACTCTCCATGCAACCCTTGCACGAGTCATACTGCAAAATATGCTCCGTTCACCCGTCATTCAACAACCACATCCGTTACAACCATATCCATTCCAACACATCCGTTAAACCATGTCCCACTTCCATCCGCAGGGGTCTGCAGAACTAGTGCTTGTGCCAAGCTTAACAGTGCTGATGCCACGTGCTTTTCAACCACTATCCCCATCCGGGCAAACTCATCCTAGTTCGGCACAGCTTACACGTGCGGGGCATGTGATGCCTTGCAGACATCTCATTGGCCACTCTGTTCCGTTCATCCTTCACGTGCGCCCCGCAATAACTTGGAAAGTGTCCAATCGTGTGCTTTGCACACTTGACACACATTTCATACAAAAGGAATCATAGAGCGGTATGAAATGTCTGTGCGTACTATCACTCACGTGAAAGGCCCCTGTCCACGCGCAACGCACGTGAGAAGAGGACACTCCCGTGACACCCCACCAGGCTTACTAACCACAAGTCCCCTCCGGCGCGAGGCTGCCAGTCAATGCCAAGACAAATCATCGGACTTAGCAAAACTAATAAGTTTCATCCGCAGTAAGACAACTGCACTTAAAGAATTCTCATAGGAAAAAAAGACAATTCTAACACTTAGATCACACCGAGAGTAAAACTCCCTCACACCGCGAGAAAGGACGTAAAACACCGTTAAATAGTCAATACAACTCTCGCAATTCACCGGTGCTGATGCCTACAACTGCAGCAATCTCAAATGACATCAATTCGTCACTCCAAACCTCTTACGGAACAAAAAATGCATATCTCATCGCTTCATTCCAGTCCCTAGCTAAACCACTGGGTCTCCCAGAAAATCCGTCGCAACTACTTCCCGACATAATGGCCTCCAACCATCACCAGTTCATCCTCGAATTCGCTACCAAATTCATCCGCTTCCGGATCAACCTCTGTTACCGCTACAGGCTCCACCCGCGCTAACACTCGAGGAGGGGGACTGATCGCAGCGGCTCCATCATCCTCAACGCCGTCTACTCCCACCACGGCGCGCGGGCAATACTTCTTCACCATCCGCCCCTGCGACTCTCTCTCCTTCCTCGCCCATCCCAAATAAGCCGCATCTTTAAAACACCCGCCTGTGCTTTCTCCAAATTGCGCGAGCGCGCGCTTCAAGCCATTTGTCACGGCCTCCTTTGCCGCGTTCTGGAATGCCATGTACGGATCATTGTCGAAGCTGGAACCGTACCCAGTATCCTCCCGGTGGGCTGAACCTAAGTGTTCAGCAAGCACCACACGCACGTGACACCGCACGAACATCTTCGGTCGCGCCACAGACCGATCTCCAAGAAAATCCGCGGGAACCACCTCGGCCTTCCCCACCTCGGACGACCACCCGTCGAACCCAAACACAAGGTTCGCTAACTCAAGCGCGTGATGGCCCTGCAAAAACCGCAAAGTACGCCCTCCAGGTCCTTGCCGTTCAGACACGAACCGCGCCGCCGCCGGCATCGACAGTAGCTTGTCCACCTGCTCAGGTGTCCGCAGTGAACGCGGACGACACTCGCTACCTAGCTCACTATCATCATCCTCTGCGCTCCCTACTCCCAGTCGCGCTCGTTTCCGTTCACCTCCGTTCCTCCGGGTCGCCATCATCGTCCCCCTCGCAGTCCTGCGTCTCTCGACAAAATTGTAAAATGAACAAAAACCGTCATCTCACATCCGTTCATAACCACATCCGTTCCATCCACTTCCATTTCCGTCATTCCATTTCAGTCGTATCCCACTCCCGTTTGCAAGGGCCTGCAGGACTAGTGCTGATGTCCCGTGAATAAATCCACTGACCTCTCCGGGCGAACTCATCCCAGTTCGGATAAGCTTACTGTGCGGGGCATGAAATCCCATTCTGACATCTCATTGGCTCTCTCCGTTCGTCGTCCCGAAGCTCGGTCCCTCACGCAGCCCCACTTATTATGGACATGGTGTCCAATAGTGTGCTGTGCACACTTGACACACATTTCATACAAAGGAATCATAAAGCAAAAGTGTGTACGAAATGTCCGTGCGGAGAGTGTGATATCACATGATCTACCCAACCCCGTGACACCGCTCCACGCTTACTAACGCAACACTGCGAGGCAGTCAATGCCAAGACAAATAATTCGACATAGAATATTTCTCAGAGAAACCACAATCAATGTTCCAGCGAGTCCATCATCTACACCACGAAGAAAGTCTCTCTCAAAACAACACTCTCCCCCAAAGATGGAGACACTCCAATAAAACAATCCTTACTGACTATTAACAAACACTCCCTGCACGGGTTTCGAACGGTGAATTCCAAGAGCACACGCACCACAGCTTCTTCGCGAAACAACAAAACAATCCTTCATCACTACTCCTTTAACACCCCGACGGGCCTTCCACATCTCCGCCACATAAGGAACGCGCGATGCTCGGGGTTCTACCCACACCCGACAAGAACCCGTGGCTCAAGGTGCCACATACCATCTTCGCCCTTCTTCTCGCATCTCAAAGCACAGCTCGCAAACCACATTCCCATTAAAGCTGCATCCGCACTGCACCCCAGAGCTAAATCCCCCATCAACAAGAAAACTCACGCCTGTCACTGCACATCTCCGTGCCACTCTGCACCCTCCGGAGCAGACCTCCCACTCAAATCCACCTCGGAGCGTTGGCAAAACGAACATGCCCAGCACACTCATCGTCCACTCATCCAACCGCGCAACAGCGCATGCGTAGTACAAAATTTCGCTTGCCATCCACTGCGCTCGCACCAACACACACGAACCTTCCAGAAGAAAACGTTCACCGCCCGACCCAGATAACCTGTCGCAGACAACTCTGTGACTTCCGTTCATCAACATCAAACGCATCCGCATCTGTGGGACATCCTGCTCTGTCACAAATTCAAGGGACACCTCTCGCTTCTTCAGCACTGCCTCTCATCAGCGTAAAACACAAAACCAACCGTGACCCTTCCCGGGACATCAAACTAACCATTGACGCGTCGCAAGAGAAAAAACACCTCTTCCTTGCTCCCAAACCCTTCACAGAACGCAACCTCCACCCGTTGCTTTCCAAGCCACTCCAAGAATCCAGCCTCCACGGCCTTCCACCAAGTCCAACACGTTCGCTCTACAGCAATCCAATCCTCTATCGTCGCATCCCGACTCAACCAGCCTAACACCTGGACCACCAACTCCGTCGGCAACTTATCAAAACCAGACTCCATCCCATTGACACAATGCGCACAGAGAAAGCGGGGAAAGAGGTCCCCAACCCTTCATCTCCATTATCACCACATCCGTTGCAACATATCCATTTGACTTATTCCGTAAAGTCGTGTCCCACTCCCTTTTACAGGGGTCGACATCACTAGTGCTTATCCACGTGTCCTACATCCACTACCCCTAATCCAGTACACTATTCCATAGTCGGATAAGCTTAGAAGTGCGGGGCATGTGATGCCTAGAAGACATCTCATTCGTCCATTCCATTCCGTGCCTCCGTCAGCTCACTCCGTTCACGTGCGCCCCGCATATCGGAGGAAAGTGCCGTGGCCAGTTAAATCACTGGCACACTTTCATCGAAAGGAATCATGGTAGACAAAGTGTATACAAAATGTGAGAACCCACGTGATCCATCCCCGGATCACCCTACCCAAGAGGATACGCGAGTTGCCCCCCGACTCGCGCCCGAACGGGCTTAGCGTTAGGGTTTCTCTGCCCAAAACGGAAGTATTTGACCCCCGACTCGTGGGGCCAACTTGCGGGACGATGCAGAGCTTAATAAACCTATTCTAACTACTAGTCAATATCCGTATAGACCCTATACGATTTTACCCGGCGCTAGCAGGACCCCTGCGCCTGACCCTTTACAATTTACAACTGCAACAATCCGTATAGACCCCTACCCAAGAGGATGCATGAATTGCACCCCGATTTGTGCCAGAGTAGGCTTAGCGTTACAGTTTCTCTGCCCAAAATGGAAGGTTTTGACCCTGCTGTGTATTGACGTTAGAAACCTACTAGGTTTCTTTGCTCGGCTGCGTGGCTGCCTCATCCAGCGCTAGCTCAAGCAGCCTGTATATCTTTGCTGTGCCTTGCCTGCGTTTCTTTGCTAGCTTTATCTTGGCGGTAACAAAACACGTGTCTGTTTACACGCTAAACACACATGCTGTCACGCTAAACATGTACGCTGTGCGTGTGCCGGGCCCTTGCTTTCCTTCTCTATAGCTGCTGAAATCAATGTAGATTGCTGTTCTTCCTTTCTTTCTTTTGCCTTGCTAGCTGCTGCTGCTGCACGGCCTGCTCTTACCTTCTCCTTGCCCTACTCTGCTTTCTTAGGCATGCCTGCTGCAGCAACATCTTCCCGGTCCGCTGCCCAGCTGCTGGCTAAGCTGAAGCAGCAGCAAGAGGCCCAGGCAGCGTGCCTGCTCACCCTTGTGGCCTACATTGAGCACCCCGCTGGCAGCTTCCTGCTCTGCCCGACCTGCTCTATCGCCATCCCTACAACGCTGCTCCCCTTCCATTTCAGCAGCACCCGCACGCACGACTACAGCAAGAGGGACTGTGCACGCCTCCTTGCTGCTTGGGAGGCGCTCTACAGCAGCTCCTGTCCTGTCGCTATATGCACAGAGGCAGATGCTGTAGCCTGGGAGCTCCGCAACAGCAAGCAATTACCCCAGCCGCTTCCCCCTGTCCTAGAGCTCCCTATTCACCATGCCCTGCAGTGCAGACTTACGGATCCCGCTACTGGCAAGCGCTGCAAATACCTGGACGCACATTCAAGGTGCATGCGCGCTCACTGCTACAACGCACATGGCTGGGGGGAGGAGCCCAAGCAGGGCGTGGTGATAACGCTAAAGGAGGGTGAGAGGCTGCCCTGGGAGGAAGAGGTGCCCTGCCAGCGCCTTAGGAACAATGGCAAAGCCTGCAGGCGACGCACAGCCTGCTGCCCCTCTGCCTGCTAGACCGCCCACCCGCTGCCAGCAGACCTGGGCAGATCTGGAAGCCAGGCTTGATCAGGGCCAGGCAGAGAACACCATCTTCCAGGCGGCCTCTAGCTCAAGGTACCCCATCCACATCTCACCATGGATTGAGAAGACTGGCTGGGCGGCTTACCTTCAAGGCCACCGCCTCTGCCAGGTAGCCCAGCTGCTGCAACCTCCAGCTGCTAGCGAGCCTGGCCTAGCTGTTCTGCACAGCGCCTTTGATGCGCTGATTGAGTCAGCTTGAACAGCTGTGCTAGAGGAAGATGGCATCAACACCTTCACCCTGCACAGAGTGAACAGCTTCAAGCGCAGGCAGCCCTTTAAGAGGCCTCTGCTCACTAAGCTTGTTGATGGAACCTACCAGAAATATAAGGCGGTCTGGCGCAAGTTCTTAAGCTTTGTCTACCGGCTTACCGTGCTCCATCAGCAGCCAAATCTGCATTACATCTTGACTCCCCAGCAGCAACAGGCTCTTGCCAACCTACCCACCACCATCACTGCAGCCTCCTCTGCCCCTGCAGCTAACGCCGTGCAGCCTACCCTACCCACCACCCAACCTACCAGCCCTACCTGCACAGCCTACCCAGGCCGCTTGGCTGCTCCCTTGCCTGCTCCTTCCCCTATCCGCCTTTGCTCCCAAAGGCAGGTGTCTCAGGTCTCACCTCAGGTCCAGACCCCAGGCTCTTCATTGCCGGCTAGCTGCTCAGAAGATGATTCAGGCTCCGAGTACAACCCAGCGCTGCCTTTGTCCCCAAGCCAAGCTGCCTCGCCTACTCTCTCTCCCCTTTTGCCTCTCTCTCCCCTCTTTCAAGGGGCAGGAGGTGAGTTGGATGAGAGCCATGCACTCCAGACTGCAATAGAGCCCTGCCAAGATCCAACGCAGCAGGATCAGGCTGCTTGCTTGGAGCTCTGCATTGCTTTACTAGATCATCGCATAGAGGGGAAACTTACTGACAGTATCATGGTTGGATTCCTTGCTGCAAACGGCATCAACAAGGAGTGCGCTGGCTTTAATGAGCCTGTGATTGCTACCTCGCCCCTATCAGCATTAGTGAAGATGGCCCAGCTGCTAGTCTTGCAACATGCTGTGCACGAGCATCGCTCTGGCCATGTAGACTACCCCAGCAAAAGGGTGGCAGAGTTGCAAGATCGCTTCATGGTTTATGGGAGCAACTCACCTATCAACTGGATCCTGAACCTGCGGCAATATGGTGCTGCTATCTGCAACAACACAACCGCAGCTGGCTGGATTGAGTGGTCAGATGACGGCCAGACGCTTACTTACAAAGCCCTAGAGCTTACCCTAAATGGCTTGCGCTGGTCAATCCGTGACCAGATAGCGGAAGCCCAGGAGCAGCTCAATCAGCTCCTCTTGCTCCCAGACTCAGAAGCAGACACCTAAGCACACTTAGTGCCAGCCATCAGCTTTGCCCAGCTCAAGGATGATCTGGGCATCTTTACAGCTGGCCACTCCTTCCTGCTGGATGCACGCAACAGTGCCACCTTGAGTGAGGGCAGCCATCGCTATATGCTGAACAGGATACGTGATAGGCCAAAGCTCCGCAAGCGCTTCTTCCTCTGTGAGGACACACTTACCTGGAATCCATCAGCCATCCAGTCCTACACCCGGCTTACCTACCAGTTTCTTGAATGCCTGTTGCTTCTTACCCACATTGCAGGTGGTCAACCTGCCCGGGGAACTGAGCTGCTCACCCTGTGCTGGCGCAATTCAAGCCACAGCGACATCAGGAGCATCTTCATAGATAACGGCATGCTATCATTTGTCACATCTTACCACAAGAACTACTCAACAAGCAGCACAACCAGGATCATTCACCGCTACCTTCCACCTGAGATTGGAGAGCTGATGCTGTACTATCTCTGATTAGTCACGCCTTTCCTTGACGCTCTCCACATCTTGACCGAGGGCCAGGCATGGCAAGCACCCAACATTGGCTCTTACCTTTGGCCTAATAGCCTCTCTACAGCTGCAAAGAATCAAAAGAAGCGCATCACTGCAGATGCACACAAAAGAAAAGAAGCAAAGAGCAAGCAAGCAAGGGTTAGTGCTACAGAAAGCCTTACGCACTGCAAAGACAAAGACGGCTCCAATGGTGTTGAGCAGCCTTGGCCAAGCATGCATCTTGGCCATGTCATCAAGACATTGCTGGCGGCTGCCCTGTCTACCACCTGTTGAAGTCGTACTTTAAGCAAAGCTCGTAAGCACTATTCGATTGGTTCTCGGGGATGAACTCTGGCTCTGGAACAGTAGGGGTAAGTCGCCTGGGTGAAACACCTAATGACGGCTTGGGGTAACGATGAGTAGTACAGGCAATCTGTCTAGCTCGAAGGCTGGTTGAGATCCAATGACAAACTTAATTGACGAGGTTGAACACTAACCATAAGGGTTGTGTTCCTACACATATATATACAGTCCACCAGATCTGCTCGTTGACGAGCAGAGTTGGTCCTGGCCAATCCGGATGGATTGCGGTTCGTCAACGAGCACTCACGTGACATTGCTCGTTGACGAGCTCCGTCACGTGTGTCAGCTCGGCTGAGAGCAATCCCCTAGGCGCCAGCCGGGCGGCCTTGCCTTGCTGCACCTTCCCCCAGGCCTCCGTGTTTGGTTGGCGGTTACTTATTGCTTGTCGTCCTATCGTGGGACGTAGGATTGTAACACCACCATCACAATCCTGCTTTGGCGGCATGCTGCTATTGCCATGTCGCGCAAGCACTTGCCAGAGGGTTTCCGCTTCAAGCACGACTATGGCCTGAATGAAGGCGATGCAATCATGGACTTGCAGTCCACGCACTCCTCCAACAGGGCCGCCATTTCTTATGCACAAAGTCGTGATGAAGGACCTGGTTTCAGGAGGATGATTAGGGACGATTACCGCTCGCTCAGCCGAGCATGGCACACTTTCCTTGGCTTTGGCACAGTCCTGCCTCCAAGGGATGGCACAGGGGAGCCACAAGAGGCAGGGGCTGAAATACATCACAACCTCACTGGCACAAAGCAAAAGCGGGCAGAGCTGGAGAAAGAGTTGAGGCAGTGGGTTAGCAATGATCGAATCCTGCGCCAAAGGAAGAGGGTGTGACTTACCAGGACCTGTCCAATGGCTACCCCTCACCAGGAGGCAAGGGTGTAGTCTGATTGGGACTGAGGCTGTGTTGGTGATACTTGGCATGAGCAGTATACTCAGCACGAGCAGTATACTCAGTAACGAGCAATCTGAGCAGTCCTCTGCTCATGTATATAGCAAGTTGTCATCCTGACATGGCTTGCAGCCAACAACAACCCTACCAGTCTTTATACTTGTGTTAGCTCCTATTTGTCAGCACCCATTTGTCAGCACCCATTTGTCAGCTCCCATTTGTCAGCTCCCATTTGTCAGCTCCCATTTGTCAGCTCCCATTTGTCAGCACTCATTTGTCAGCTCCCATTTGTCAGCTTGCCACCCATCTAGGTATATGAACC